ATATGCATGAGTCTGTACTTTTAAAAATGCTCTCAAGTGATTCTGATGATACCAGTGTACTAGCCCACATTTAGAAATCATTATTCTAAAATTCTCTTACACATCATTTTGGAAATCATTATTTTAAAATTCTCTCACAGTTACCTTGAAGGCCTAAACCAGGTGTAAGAGAATCAGTAATCAGAGGGCTTTTTTGGAGAAGGCATGTCTTATGGGCATATCTCCATTCTTAGAGGAGAGCAGGTCAGGCAAAGAAACTAGGAAAGCTAAATTGGAATGCTAGGACAGCTAACTTCTTACTGGGAAGGATGGGTGTGAGAGAGTGTGTTAATGGATTTGACCTCTAGTTTGAAGGCAGAGTAGAAGTTTTCTTCCTCCGACTTTCCCTTATTTTCTACCATCCTTTATTTTCCTTAACAGATTTGTCAAACAAATGAAGTCACATAGACGTTTTGAAAATTTGGAAAGCCAAAAAAAATTCCCAAAGAAAATTTCATACAAATTTAACTTTAGTAGTAATATTCATTCAAGAGAAAAATTTTCAAAATCAAGAAATTTGTATCCACTGAAAGCAGACAACGTAGCTTGTATAAAGTTAGTTATCATCTCCATATTGTGTATTTATCACTACCTCCATTTTTGGAGTGGTGTGTGCAATGGTTAGCTATGAATTGTGGATTAGAAAGAGAAGAGCTACTGAGTCAGAGTTGGTAGAAAGGAGGAAGAGAAAAGATACACACTAAGGGAAAAAACCGGAGGGACAGGTATGGGAACTAAGATAGTTACAGGGCAGGAACCCCAAACCCTCCTGCTCTAAATAGGTTCTACCATCTGCCACGTTAAGACAAAACATTTGCTCATAAGACCTTCAATAGAAAAGAACTTTAATACAATTAGTGTGCAATAAAGAGAAGGGTAAGGATAAAACAGTTTCCACATGGAATACCCAAAGTTACCCATCCCATCATGAGTAAATGTCCAGCCAAACAGTGTTGGACCAAAGCAGGGCCAGGAGTCCTTAAAGCTTGCCATAATTCTAAGGTACCTTCTGGTCGGGACCCATAGAAAAGGGGCAGAAAAAGCCAGGCAAGTTTGGAAGGAAAGGAGCAAAATCAAAATCAAGGTAAAGGCTCCCACTGATAACCTCCCCAAGGGTCTCTCGTTTATGACTGTTTCAAGTGTCTCCTTTTATGTCCCCCAAGTCCCTGGTACAAGTCCAAGGTCAAGAAGCAAGCAAAGCTTCTTCACGTGTCTCTTAGCTCCATGAGTGTCCTCTAGGTCTCCTTCTTGGTTCTCTTCTCTCAGCGTTTTTGTAGCTAGGTTTTTCTCTGTCTTTTCTAGCTTCACCTCCCTGCCCAGCTCTACCCTTCCTTAGGGTGGGGCAGGGAACCTGGAACCTCCCCTTTCTTGGGGATTACCTTTTGGAAGTTGGTACACTGGTTTCTCTTGAAGTCTTTGAGAAATTATTGAACAATAAAATGGGAGGAAGGCTGGAGGGTATAGTGGTATAAAGTTAGGGGAAAGGAAGAGCTTTTGAAATAAATTTTTACTAATCACCAAACATTTGATGTCCACCTTATTGTAACCATTTGTCCAGGTAAGTAATGTTATTAAAACAGGTAAAAGTTGGTATTTGGAAAAGTGAAAAGACTTATTTAAAGCTAGGCAGTACATACTGTGACATTTGAAAAGTAGTGGTAGTACCTGGTATACTGCTAAATTTTAATGATAGAAGATAAATCTCTTAAATTCTATACTAACAATTTCAACTGAGATATATATTCCTCCAGGCTCTGTGTGTGGGGGGGGGGGGGAGGGTGGTGGTGGTGGTGGCTGGTATTTTATGAAGTCCATAGATCATCTGGACAGGAAATTATTTTCCTATATTCTCCTTACATTTACAAAATATAATGAGAGTTGCACAGTATATTTGAAACTAGGTGAAACAAAGTGTTCAATGTGTGGCAATGCAAAGTGATAATTACAATGAAGCAAAATTTCAAACTGGATTTGCTGTAATTGTTTTTTCACTTTTCAAAATGCAGCATATATTTTTGTCACATTCATTTACTTTAAGTACATTGATTCAACATTGACTTTCTTACCACAATGCTTGGCATATGGCAAACAGTTTTTATGTTTCTGGAGCAAGAATTGAGCGAAATGCTGAAGTACTAGAAAAATTCTTATTGTTTTCAGAGATTTGGGTTCCTTAAAACACACAGAATATACCTAATAGTTCTATTTTCTCTATAATAACTTATTAAAGATACTTTCTGCACATATGTAATAATTATGTCAGCAATCATATCTTTGTGGATTTAAAATTCTCTTTGTATTAGAGAATTAAATCCCTAAATTTCTTGGGAAAGACAGATGTGGTAAAGCAATCTCCCAAGTTGTTTTGGTATTATTTATTACTTAGTGCACAAACAGTCTTTCATTTAATTTATATTGACATACATATGTAGCATATATCACAATATTTAATGTTCACAGAAATTTTCCATATTAAGGTTTATTCATATAAGACTGATTCAATTTTTGCTGTTAAATCACAAAATATGTACCAAATATAACTTTACTATCATTTCTGGCTATTAATAATAATTTAGTAATAAAATGAAATACTTTTTAAAAAACAAATTAAATACTAAAAAGTAATTACTTTCCTTAACTTCACTGTCTGAATATTTTCAGCATAGGCATTACTGGGGAAATATAATTAAAATGAAATCTTCCAATCCAGAAATCCTTTTCACAAAGGTAGTGGAAATAAAACACTTTCATTGTTGAATAAGCACTAAAAAATGTGATGCACATTACAACTAATCAGAAAGGAATTGCAAGACAAAAAACACACATCCATTTATATAGCCAAGCAGACAGACCCATTTGTTTTCATGATAAACAATATCTAGTCCTGAAGTAAAAACTTGAGTAGTAACATTATTTGCACACATAAGTAATCTTAATTTTCTTGACTAATTTTATTGAGAAGAAAAAAAATTCTCACATCTATCTTTCACAGGACGAATTAAGCTTATTTAAAAATTGTTATGTCTTTACACTTGTTTTGGTTTAACTTTGAAACAGTAGACAAGAAAAGTCCAAATTATAATTTATGTTTTTTTAAGTGCAAAGCTGTTCACTGTGGTCAAATAAACAAGTTTAGGGGATAAAATCACTTCCCTTCTCTGGCTCTCACATAATTCAAAAGTTTTTGAAAAGTAGGGTGGAGGTGGAGATAGGATTGACAGATTTTTGCTGCAGGCAAAGAATGTGGTTCAACCAAAATACATTGTACAAAGTCTTAAAAATTCTGCTGCAGGAACACACCCTGGGATAGTGACTAATAACACCTATCATACTGTTACAGATCACCTAGTAAGAATTGTTTAGTTCACATTGCTCATTTTCTACTAAATCCTTTTGGTGAAGGACTCCAAGCCACGTCTCTTACTGGTAAAGCAAACCAGTTTGGGTTCTTCAACGCATTCTGACTTAGAGGTAAAGGCTTTAATAGCGGGGGGGGGGGGGGTCGCACGGTACCCGCTTGTATACCTTTTAACAGTACCCGTCAAAATTGCAGCATTGAGCGTCTAACCTGTTTTATTTATTTATTTTTTTGATCTAAGGCACTGAGAATACCGGAATGAGAAAGGCACAGTTTTGTGTTTAAGGGATTCGAAGTCCTTTGGAGAAGCTGAAAACCATCCTGAAGAAATCACAACTGCAACAGAAACAAGTAAAATGTGGAAAAGTACAGGAGAAAGTGCCTGATTCAGAGGGGGAAAAGTGCGTATTTAGGCAAGAGGGCTCAGCGGCCCCCAAACAGCTTCCCTTCCCTGAGGTCTCACACCCAGGATCACCCGTACCCCGGGGGCACAACTTAACATTTTAATCACGCCTCCGCCCCCACCCTCCGAATTCCTTTCCGGCCGCCGACCGGCCGGGTCGTCCCTCAGCGGGCGGCTCCAGCTTATCACCCCGGGCCCGGTCACTTCCCGGCCGCGGCCAGGCGAGTCTCCCAAAGTTTCCTGTGACGCCGCCGTCCGCCTCCGGCCCCATCCCGCCCGCGCCCCCATCCCAGCAGCCGCGGGCAGAAGAGACGAGCCGGTTACGGGGACCAGGACCCCAGCGCGAACCGGGGGACCTCGGGGTCCACCCGAGCCGGGGAGCGGGCGCGAAGGGCGGTGGCCACAGCTCCACGCCGGCCCTCGCCGCTCCGGGTCCCCGCGCGCGCACCGCCCCCCGGGCCAGGATCCCGAGTCCCACCCTACGGTCCCGGGCCAGCGGGCCGCGCCCCGCCTCCTGGGAGGTGGTGGAGGAGGGGGCAGGGGGCGGTGGCAGCGCCCGCCTTCCGCTCGCGCCCATTGGCTAAAAGCTCGAGGGTGCCCGGAGACCGGAGCGCAGCCGGATTGGCCGCAGAGGCTCGTGACAGCGGCGCCTATTGGCTGCGGTGGCCCCCGTGACGCGGGGTGGCGACTGGCTCCCGAGTCTGAGGGGCTCCTGCTTGTCAGGTTCTAGGTAGGTGCGTTTCACGCTGCCGGCGGCAGGCGCTGTTGCCCGGGACAACGCCGGGGGTGGGGGTGGTAAAAGGAGGGAAGGCGAGCTGGGAACGGGGGCCACACTCCTAGCAGGCAGGGGGGCGCCTGGGAAGCAGCCCTGCCTGCGGCGGCTGCGCCGAGGCTCTTCCTCCTCCCTCAGCCACCCCCCTCGCCCGCCCCAGGCTGCGGGTCTCCCGCCCACCCTCCGCCCGTGGGGGAGCATTCCAGGTAGGGGCTCTCGCGGGCTCCTTGCCCAGCCCCGCGAGGCCCGTCCCTCCCACCACCCCGGGACTGGAGGCTGAGGGGGCGGGTGCCGGCGCGAAAGGGCTGAGGCTGGCACGACGGCCCCGCCCAGTCGCCGGGTCGTGGGACCGCGGGGTGTGGGCGGTGCAGGGGGGCTCGTAGGCACCGCCCGAGACGCCCTCACCCCCTTTTCTCCACGTGCTGCGCTCCTGGCGCGGCCCTTCAGCCGGGGCGCTCACCTCGATCCTGAGGTGTTCTCGTAATCCCATCTTTCCTCTGGGGCCCAGTAGTCTCTCTTGACCCAGGCAGTTCGCCCCCACCTCTTAACCCTTGTATCAGCTTCCTCAGTCTTCTTCGTTTACCCCCAACTTTCCGTCCCTGCTCCTGTCTTGGCTTGAGGTGACTTTCAAGAACTTAGTCAAGAGACTGTTAAATGTGAAGGTACTGCAGACAGGACAATTTCTGCTTTATTCTCGGTTTGCCGTTTAGGGTTGGGAGTTGTTTGGAGTCGTTTTAGTCTCTTAGGATTAACTTTCTGAAACAAGCTAATTGGGTTAGTGTTTGTAGGGCCCAGGTCCTTCTAGAACAAATTATGGGGTCCATCTTACGCAGTTGTAGCATTTTACTTTGTATATTTGTGATTTTGATAATTAGGTTGTGCAATCCACATCTAATTTATTAAGACTGGTACTCTTTACGTTCATTGCTTATAGTTAAAACTTTTTATTCATAAGAGGTTGCAGATAATACCTGGAGAAACAGAAAAATGGTACTACGCTTTTAGAGCGATTTATAGCAAAGTGACTGAGAAGTTGTATATGTTTACAGCGCTCTGAACTGCTCAGTCACTTCGACATAAACTGTTCTAAAGGCGTCACCATTTTTCTCTTCACATTTTTTTAAGATAATACATTTCTCTCAGAGGCACTGTGTATAAAAGTGTAATGGAAAAACAAGAAGAAATCAAAGTTATTTCAGTGATTCAAGAGCAGAAATTATATTCAACCTGTAGAATTGGAGTAGATTAAAAATTATTGCAAAATATAATTATATCACTAGTACAGAGTTGTAGTACTAGTGTATCTTCTTGGTCTTTAGGAAGACATTTGTGGAGAGCTACCCACTTGTCAGTGAATGTATCTTGTAATCTGGAAATCTTTTCTACTGGAGGTACTGTGCTTCCCGGATAGGGGAATATGTTATGAGAATACAATATACTTGGTATATATACTTAGAAACCTTTTCTCTATTCTTTTCCAAGAAAGACCTTTGGCAAAAATCCGTTTTCTGCGCTGATGTCTGTAGCCTTAAATAAATAACGTACATTTATTTAGGGTCCAGTTAATGCAACTTCTGCACTATAAAGGTTGATGTCAGTATCCTGGAAGATCTTCAGCTGTTATGTAGCTATAAATCTGGGGTGTGAATATTTCAAATTTGCCCCCCCCCTTTCAGTATTTTCTATGAAAAAATTTCAAAAAATGCAGGAATTGAATTGTACAGTGAATACCACCACCTACAAGGCAATGACATTTTCAAGAAATAGTTACAAAGTAAATTTTAAGAAGAGAAACAAAAACTATCAGTTTGAAGGTCACCATAATTGTATATCTTACCAAAATATTGTAAGGTGCTTATTTCTATAGATGGAAATAACATTTATAAAAACTAATAATTCCATAAGAATACTATAAAGCAATCTTGAGAGTAAGAAATCATTGTCTTTGTTTATCAAGACCCAGATGAGTAAATCACAGTTTGGTAATCAGAAAAAAAGGAAATCTTATGACCTTGTTAAATGATAAAAAATTTTATTTTCCAGTTGGGCTACTTTGTTTATAAATTACAGTTTTGTACTTGATTTTAAATGAGCACCTTTTAAAGAGAGGTTCATGAAACTATCAATTATGCAGTATTTTGGTAACAAACCTGATAAATTACATCAATTTTATGTAGTTGTTTTGAACTAAGACTGTATTTTTGAAATGGGAAAGGAAAACTTACAAATACAAACATTTCTGATAGAATTGTTTCATGGAAAATGATGTAATTATATGGTGATTTAAGGTAGCAGTTTGAAAGGACTCAAAACCATCATGGATGTCATTTCCTAGTGCTCCTAAAAGTAATATTTTATTGTAGAACTTCAATTTGTAATAAAACAACAAGAGTATCAATCCACAGATTTATATTTATAATTTTTCCACATTAAGGAACTTCCTGCGCTTTTTAAGTATTTGAATCCTGCTTTTTAGTGTTAGTATATACTCTTGTTTTTCATCCTTAGCACATTTATATGACTAATCTCCTGAACAGTGAATTTAAGAGCAGTTTCTCAGAATATATAGATCTTTGGATTGTCTCATTGTTTTTCCTTATCTCACTTGGCTTTGATATGCTTGCAGAAGGTAATGTACGCATCATTGACATATTAAAGGAAACAAGCTGGTCATACATTTTGCCGTTTTTTTTTTTTTTTTTTCTTTCCCTTTCTTTCCCCCTTTTCTTCTTTCTTTTCTACTTTTTATTATAAAAGTGAGATGCTTTAAAATCAATTCAGAAAACTGTAGAGTAGAAAAGTCAAGAATAATTCCATGATAGCTAGTATTTTGGAGAATAACCAAAGCTTTTATTTCTTCTGTAGTGTTTTAGCAGTCATTGAAATTTTATAGTCATTGTAGCATATCTATATTTGCATCTTAATTTGAAGGAGTTCCTGAACTTCATATTTAGTTACCCTAAATTAGAAGAGGACATCAAATATGGAGGAAAAATAGAAATGAATACAGGACAGATTAGAGTCAGAACAAAGAAATCATGCAGAAGTAGTTCTCTTTCTTATTTTTATAAGTATAAATGTAACCCTGTTTTCCATATGAAATTGCTGTGTGACTGACTAAAAATGGGGCCCCAGAAGGTTTTTTTTAGGAATTCAAAATATCTAGTTAAGATGAAGTTTACCTAGCATCTTTCTATAAAAATTTTCAGATTTTTTTTTCATTTTAGGAATATTACATATGTAAATTTTAATTGTGAATTAAGTGTTATGTATGAGGTGCAATTATTTTTCAAATATTCATATGTACTCATCAAATTATGGCTAATTTTTAGTCTTAGTGTAACAGGGTGGTCCCCAGGAAAGGGGGAGGTTCCCTGCCCCACCCAAGGGAGGGTGGAGCTGAGCAGGAAGAGGAGAAGCTGCAGAAGAGACTGAGGAAGGAAGCAGGATGGAGCCAGGAGACCTGAAAGAGGCACATGGAGCCTAGAGACACGTGAAGAAACTGTGCTTGTCTTTTGGTCGTGGACTGGGTGACACAGACGTGGGCGAGACCCGTGGGGAGGTGACAATGGCAGCTTTTATCTTGATGTTGATTTTGCTCTTTTCCTTCCGGACTTGTCCGGTTGTTTGTGACCCTTTTCTGTGGGTCCCCACTGGAAGATGCTTTAGACTTTTAGCAGGCTTTGGGGCCTTGTTCTGGGCCGATCCCATATGGATGGACTTTTACCCACGAGGGGACGGGTAACTTTGGGTGCTTCATTTAAAAACTAGATTCTTTGCCTTTCCTGTATTGTTTCCTAATTAAAGTTCCTTCCCATTAAAGTCTCATATGTTTTGTGTTGATGCGGCGGATGGCAGAACCCATTTAGAATAGGCAGGTTTGCGGGGCTTGGGCTGCCCCTCTCCCTGTCCTATAACATTAGCATCATCCACTGTTTGATACATTTCATATTGTTCCTCCTTTTGAGGGTTTTAATTAAAATTGTGGAAATTTTGATGTAGGTGTTTCTTGCCAGGTCTCAGGTATAGTGAAAGAAAATTAATTTATTTTGGAGTCAGATAATCTGGGTTTGTGTCAGAAATCAGGATTTTCTTTTGTTGGGTCTTGTGCACATTATTTAATCTCTTTGAACCGTAGCTTCATCCTTTTGGTAAACTGAGTTGATAAAATTGCTCAAAAGGTTGTTAGGAAGAAGAAATAAGGCAGTCTAGGATTTAGTCAGTGCCCAACTTCCATGGTAGCTTTTGTTTTACCTCTTCTAGTATTACTTGAATTTTTGTTCTAATAGCCTAAAAGTCCCTAAATTTTAGACTTAGGAAATTCAAATAATGTACATTAAGTTTACTTAAAGTGAATGACGTGTGTTATACAAGGTAAATAATTAAACATATCTCAGATTAGCTGTTCTTTTATGGTTCTTTCATTGCTGTCTCAGAAGGGATGTCACAAATATATTGTAAATGTTTTCAACTTCAAAATATGTGCAGTTTTTCTGAATTCCTGGATTATTTTTATTTCACCTTAGATTATCATCTGTTCTTGGATGGTTTCCCTAAATTCCTTTTATTTAAAACCACAAATATTTGCTGAAATAAAGAACATCTAAATGTTAATTTATTAAATGTCTAGTGTTTCCACTTAAACCATTTATCGAATCTGTTCAAAACGTAAACTTTATTCGTAAATTACAAAAGAAACTTCACATTCATAGTTAAATGTTTTATGCTTCCTACTGTAGAATGTGATTATTTTCAGAGAGTAATATTTTATAATGATCTCTGTTTTAGAATGTGTCTTCAGTAAGTATAGGGTTCTAATTCTAAAAGAATACATACCAGTTTAAATGCACACAGTTATTGGAGGTCATGAAGCAAGCCCGGAACTCAGTGAGGAGCTAGGAGTTGAACTGTATTGTCGAACCAACAATAACACAAATAATTTTTGATCTAAGTCTGATTCTCAGTATTTTTCCCATCCAAGACATTTACATTTGTGATATATCTTAATGCACAGTTTCGTTGCATGCATTCTGTAAATTCTGTCACTTTATTTCCCATTCATGGAGGCATGTCAGAATGCAAGTGTGAATTAATTAAATCATTATAGGAATGAACTTCAGTGTTCTCTGATTTGTTGAGGAAAGTGATTAAGAAATGTGCAAAAGTATTGTTGGTAACAAATAATTGAGATGCATCTTTTCGTATTACAATTGAGAACCAAGTTACTTCCACATTTTCCTGAAATGAATGCTGTTTCTCTTTTTATCAGCCTTGTGCTACAGAAGAAAAGAGTACTATACAAATAATGAAAAGTCTTTAATTTAAAAGTCAGAGTTGCAGATAATGAACATTTAAACATATTTGAGAAACATTACCATGTTCTTTAATTAAATTATTTTTTAAAAAGATTTATTTATTTATTTAGACAAGTACTGGGTACAGTCAGAAGCATGGGAGGGTAAGAGAATTCACCAGAGCCAGAGCAGGGAGCAGAACAAGCAGACTGACGAAATACACTGCTGAGGGGAGCAGCGGGTGCTGCAGGAGAGATCTGCACGCCATGTGGGACCCTCGCCCGGCGGCCGGGGATCGAACCAGCTCTGCAGAGGCTGCAGGCAGCTTTGCAGCCCAGTGCTCAACGGCTGCGCCACTGGGGAGGCCC